TTGATCAAGCAGCCTATTTTATTTTTAATAGCTCACAGTAATGGAAGGTGTACTGAGACTAGTTAGTGTCCCAAACGGGAGGATCTCAGTCAGCACCTAGATTCAGGCTGATTGGAAATGAGACCCTCAGTCACCAGCTTTTAAAGAATGCAAATATATACAGTCCTGTGGGACTGCAAGTGTAAGTCCCAATGGCCCCCAGAGCCAGGTGATCTAGAGGTGTTCCCTGGACAACAGTCACAAAAACTGGGGTTCCAAATGAGTGTACAAGCTCCTTTCTGGGAGATATCAGTGAGCTATAGCAAGGCAGAGGCAGAGTGCAAAGACGGTGTCCCCTGCCCTTCATTCCCTGAGCACACCTCCTTAGCCTCTAGATACATGCCAAACCTAAAGCCTTCCTCTCATGCCAAAGCTCTAGGACTAGCAGATAGGCCTCTTTCACAGAAAGGGTCGGGATGTATTTCAGTCTGCAATCTGTGCAATGCCCTGGGGGTGGTATCCTGCCAACAACTGTCTCTACAACTGTTACAGGCCCATGGAACCCAGGAACACAAGCTCCACTGGCCCTTAGAGCCAGGTGATCATGGGTATTCCCTGAGTGGCAGATGCAAAACCCAAGGCATCCGATGTAAAAACTGGGGTACTAGACAGGTATAAGAGCTCCCCTCTGAGAGATGTTGGCACCTTGGAGTGTGGCAGAGAAAGACAACGAAGATAGTGGCTACCCTCTGAGGTCTCAGGAAATTTTACAGTCAGCCCTTCCAGGTGTGTTTAATTAGAAACCTGTCCCCTCAGGCTGCAGCTATGATGATAAGCTTATAGATTTCTTTCACAGAAAGATTGAGCTCCCGGGTCTGTTGCTTTTTCCCATGCCCTGAGGCTGGTAGCTGTTTAAGACCACTTTCTCCATTGGTTACAATCCTGTGGGACCCGTGAGTGTAAGCCCCACTGGCCGCCAGAGCTAGGCAATGTAGGGTGTCCCCTGGCGGCAGCTACAAAAATCAGGGCACCAGAGAAAGGTATAAGCTCCTTCTTGTAAGACACCAGCAAGCTGGAGCGAGGCAGAGGAAGAGAGCAAAGACTCCACCAGCCTCTGTTCCCTGAGAGTAGCTCTGGAGACCCCTATAAGTGTGTCAAACCAGAAGCCTGTACCTCAGGCCAGAGCCCCTGGACAAGCAAATAGGCCTCATTCTCAGAAAGACTAGAGTGTGTTCCAGTCTTCTGTCTGTGCAGTGCCCTGGGAGTGGTAGTTTGCCAAGAACTGTCTCTCTGATTGTTACAGTCCCACAGAACCCAGGAACGCAAGCTCTCTTGGCCTCCAGAGCCAGGCCATCAAGGGGCATCCCCTCAGCAGCAGCCGCAAAAACTGGGTCACCAGATGTAAAAACAGGGGCACCAGACGTGTGTAGAAGCTCCCTTCTGGGCAGTACTGGCACTCTGGAGCACTAGAGGGAGAGCGCAAATATGTCACCCACTTGCTGAAGTGAGGCAGAGGAAGAATGTAAAGATGGTACTTGCCAGAAAAAGGAAAAAAAAAAAAAAAAGAAGAAGAAGAAAAAAGGAAAACAAGGGAAAGAAAAAGGAAAAAAAAGATGGCATCCACCAGCAAGGCAGAGAGATAGCCTGGAAGATGTTGCCTGCGGCTGAAGCATAAACATGGCACGTGTAGAAAAGGAAAAAACCAGATGGTACCCACCAGCTTAAGTGAGGCAGAGAGAGAGCAGGAAGATGGGGCCCATCAGCCTCTGGCCCTGGAGAGTATCTGGCAGGCCCCTGCCCCTTAGAACAATGCTGTAAAATTAGGAAATGAGTCTCTTTCACATAAAGTCTGGGCACTTTTCAAAGGGCTGCTTCTGTGCTGGACCTGGTTGGGGGGTGGGAGGGGTGAGTCTGCACAGGCCCTTTAAGAGCCATTCCTCAATTTGCCACAGTCCCATGGGTCTCGTGGGTGCAAGGCCCCCATTGGTCTTCAAAGCCAGATGTTTTAGGGTCTCTTCCTTTAGGTGCTGCTCTTAAAGTTGGGGTGCACAACATGGAGCACAGATCCCCCAAAGAGAAGCTCCAGAGTTTTTGTTCCCTCCTGACTGTGGGACGCAGTGCTGGTGGTGGGGTTTATGATGAGACTGTGTCTCAGCCTTTCCTACCTGTTTCCACGTGGTTTCCCTCTCATTTGCCCAATGTGAAGGGGATGCTCCACCAGATTTTAGGGTTTTTTCCAGAGAAAATTGTTCCATATATGGTAATAAAGTCAGCGTGTCTGTGGGAGGAGGTGAGTTCAAGATCTTCCTACCCGGCCATCTTGAACTGGAACCCCCAGGCCTTCTGCTGGAAAAATAGCCCCCAGGAAAGAATCTATGGAAATGGGCTCTTCATGTGCCTCCTCTTACTTAAACATGGCAGCCCCGCGTTGGTTGCTGTTAATAACTGAAAATGTAGTTCTATACATTTTGTACAGGTTTACAGTTATTTTATGGTAAAAGCATAAGTGTGTTATTAGCTGTCTTGTCCATAACCAAAGTCTCATTGAATAAGTGAATAAGTGAATAAATCCTGTGCTTACTCTGTGTTGATTTTTTGTTTTTCTAAAAACCAAACCTAAAGGGCCCGCCCGGTGGCTTAGCAGTTAAGCGCGCAAGCTCCGCTACTGGCGGCCCAGGTTCGGATCCCGGCGCGCACTGACGCACCACTTGTCCGGCCATGCTGAGGCTGTGTCCCACATACAGCAACTAGAAGGATGTGCAACTATGACATACAACTATCTACTGGGGCTTTGGGGAAAGAAAAAAAAACGAGGAGGATTGGCAATAGATGTTAGCTTAGAGCCGGTCTTCCTTAGCAAAAAGTGGAGGATTAGCATGGATGTTAGCTCAGGGCTGATCTTCCTCACACACACACAAAAAAAAACCTAAAATGCAGGATTTCAAAATGCATTTTATCTCTAGTTTATCTCCTTTGTTTTAGATCAGTATCCAAGTAAAGCACTCTTTGGGTTCTGAATCGGGTGTCTTATAAATTAGCACTGCCCCTACTTTTGTTCATATTCAACTCTAATAAGTACTCCTTTTATCTTTTCCTCTTAAATGTAATTTGATAAATCTGCTGAACAATAGAGTACCAAGCTCAGAATCAAATACCTTACTCCCGTCCAGCATGAATCTACGTACATGACACTTGGAAAAACTCTGTCAAAATTGTTAGTTTTGAATTTGTTCAATATTAACGTACAATTTACAGTTACTTTGTCCATAAAGATAATGGGAAGGTTGGCCAGAATCAAGAAATGCCATATGTATGAGTTTAGTGGCTACTTACAAAGAGAAATGAAGTTAGTCTGGTAAGATATTTTTACTAAATTATAGTTGTTTCCTTTTTTTTCCTGGTTACTGACAAATTACTTATTTCATGATCTTCTCTAGAATATTTCCAGGGCTCTATTTCAAACTTAATCACTGTATAGATAACAGAATCTACCTTTAAAAAAAAAAAAAAACAGAAAATCTCTATATGCGCATTCTTCTGGCCCCTTGTCTGTTGTTTATGGATTTACCAAATATGATGAAACATACCCCTGTTCCCACAGGCAAATAGCAATTTTATGTAACGGGAAAGATACGTTAAATTTGAATTCATAATCCTCTTACTAGCTATGTAATAGGCAATTTACTTAGTCCTTTAAATTTTTGTCCTTCTCTTTGATTAAATGGGGATAAAATACTTGTTTGAATGTTTGTTTTGAAGATTAGAGAAATATATGAAGGCAACTATTATATTTCGATCTGACAGGTATCCAAACAAGATGGCTACTGTATCAACAGTGTTATTATCATTCCAGTATTCTGCGAGTAATTCACCTGAGCGTGGATATTTGAATTTAAGCAGCCACATGCTTTCTCACTGGCTTTTCTCCAACTGTGACCCCAATTCTCTCCAAGCAATGTTTAGTCCCTTCTCTCCTAAAGACTGCTCTACCTAGAAGAAAATATATAGACTCAGAAAGGAATTTATATACTTATATTTCTCTCTTCTCTTAACATTACTTATTTTCTCAAAGAAGAGCTATCTTTTCCTGTTCATTTTCTTGCTCCAAATAGAATTAACAAAATCATTTTACCTCTTTTAGTATTGTTAAAAGTTTTATTTCATGCTCTGCTCTAAATCTTTTTTCTTTTTCTTTTTCTCAGTGTTATCACTATTGTCTTGTCCTTCCTTATGGGATTCTCCTATAGTCTTTACTTACTCTTTAAAAACCTTCAGAGTGCTGAGGAGAGCCTCATTGATATCTTTGCAACTTTGGGATCTTCCCACTTTTTCCTTCTTTATATAGGGGTTATATATGAAATTTAAAAGTCTAGCTAGCAAGATCATATCTTTTATTTTCTAATTTAAAAAACTGTGTGCGCGTGTGCACGCGCGCCTGTCTTTTTCATACATGTTCGTCTCATTTACTCCTAAGGTGTAAAGTTCGAGGCGGAAAAGCCAAGAGGTCCTCTCTACTACATTGTTCTGCGTGAAGAGACTCTCACCAGATGTCAAAAAATAAATGCATCAGGCTGCACTCTAGGGAAAGGTTTTCAGCGGAGTCGTACATTTTAACTGAGCTGGGGTTCTTTCACCAATAAGTTGTGCCCAAGAATCCACTTCCTTCCAATCCTTCTAAGCAGGCCAAGCAAACCAATTCAGAAGAGAACGCAGCAAAACTAACTAACCAACAAAATTTGTCCTTGAAGCACGGGGGCACAATTTGGGGACACGTGTGGCCGGTCTGGGCGGCTGAGTCTCCCGCCTTCAGCGAGCCCACCCTGGGGCGCTCTGGGCTCTCCCACAGCTCGGTTCCCTCGCCCCCTGCCAGGCACAGAACGCCGATTAGAGCCGGCACGAGGGAGTTGAGCGAAGCGCCAGCAGGGCAACTGGGCATGCTCAGAAGCCGGGCAGGTTTGGGTCTCAACCAGGCAGCTTGTGCATTACACCAGCGCTCGCAGCCCTGGGAGGAGGAGGAGGAGGAGCGGAGGAGGAAGGGGAGGAGGAGCGGCGAGCGGTAGCCACGACCGCCACCACCAGGCAGAGGAAGAGTTCGTGAGGAGGGAAAGACCCTCCTCCCACTTGGAGCGCGTGGTGTCAGCTTTTGGGAAAAGAGAATACAAGATAAAGGAGGAGACGGAAAGAAGAAGAAGGAAAAAAAAAGTGACGGGGGAAAGAGAGAAAAAAGGAGGTGAACAGAAAGGGCCAGAGCGTGCAGGGAGCCGGAGGCGCGGGGGCGGCAGTGCGGAGCCCGGAGCGCTGCCTCTTGGGCAGGTGCCGCGGCCACTGCCCGGAGGCGGCATGTGACGCGCGGTCGCAGCTGCCCGCGGCCGGAGCGCTCTCGGACCCGGGAGCGCACACCGTGGAGCAACTCGGTGCCATCCCGGATCCCCACGCTCCTCGTCAGTTCGCCGGCGCGGCAGCACCGCTTCTGGAAAGACGGGCGATGAGCCGAAGGGCGGCTCCGGGCATGGGCGCACAGTCTTAGGACTCTCGTTCCCTGAACGCCGAGCAGGAGGCGACGAAGGGAAGGTGGACCGGGCGCCCCCCGCGCATCGGGGAGGAGCGAACAACCTGCGTTGGGACGGCCACCTGGAGCGCAGCGGCCAGGTAAGGACGGCGCCCGCCACCCGGGCGCTGGGCAAAGCGGGTGGCGGTAGAGGCTGACCTGGTTTCTTGCCTTATCGCGTTGCGAAAGGAGGAAAAAGTTTTCAGCGCGGGTAGGAAATGTCTTTGCTTGCGGGAGTTTAAAGAGGGTACTGGCGAGGGGGGAAAGAGCTGGTCTGTCGATTTGGTGGTGGTGGTGGGGCGCTTGAACCTGGAGAGAGCGCGATCTGGTGCGGAGTTGGAGCTCTGGGACTGAGGGTGGGGAATGTTGAGGTGACACCAAGCGCCGGGAAAGAGACGGGAATAATAGGAGCGGTGGCGGGGAGAGAGCCTGGGACGCCCCACCCGGCTCTCCTTCGCTTGGGTTCTCTCTCCCCCGAAAGCAGGTTCCGAGGCACGAAGTGTCCCGACAAGAGGCGCTGCTCGGCCCGGGTGCTTGTGTGCGCGCGTGTGTGTTGTGCGTGTGCGGGTTCCCGCATTTGATTTCCTAACGCTTTTAAGAAGGCTAAGGCAGACACCCGCCAACCTGCCAGCGGGGCCGCTTGTTCGGATTGCATTTCAGGGGCCGAAGAGGCAAATTTGGTACCTGGTGTAACACCTGGGCCAAGGTGCGTAGCCCGGGTGCCCGTCTTTACTGACCGAGGGAGAGTCTACACTCTCGGAGCGGCAGCGTTGAACTGCGCCGGATCTCCTCTCTGGAACCCTCCCCCAGCACAGCCTCCTTACAGCTGGGTTAATTTCTGCGTGTTTTTAAATCGTGGGGGGCAGGGGGCCAGTTGACTCGAGCAGCAGAATTCACTTGTCTACTTAGCGCTGTGCGTGTTGGAATTGTGATCCTGTTAGCCGTGCGTGTGCGTGTGTGCGACTCTCCTAGCACGCAGGTTGGAAGTGATAGAGGAAGCAGAGGTTTGAGAATTGCATGCATATGGACCGATTTCAAGAATGCAAACATTCGTTTGTCTGCAAGTGTTATTTCAACCTGTCCGGTGGCTGTAAGGATATGTTTTCCTCCCGCTGTCCATGTTTGCAATGTGAAAGGACGGCTCTCCTTAGGAGGTAAATGTATTTATCAGAGCATTTGTGTTGTTAAGGACACTGGTTATTTCACGGTATGCTTTGCACAGACCTTTCATTTCTCTCTTGGCCTCTGAGTTCCAACGAGACTAATCCCCCATTTTGGGTCTTTCGAGGTTACTATTTGAAAAACAATCTTGTTTAAAAAGTGTATATGTTGATTATGTAGTCCCAAATTTTATGTTGTGAGATCATGATATTGCATGAAACATTCATCACTATTTCTTGTGTTTAAAACAATGCCCCTGTATTTACTTACGGGGGAGACCCTGGATAAGAATATACACTTCAGAAAGGAGAGGGCCGAACCTAGAACAAATACGTGCACGTAGACAGGATTGTGGCAGTAGGATATTAATAAAAAACACAGAGGTCTTTCTGTTCCCCGTGTGGTGGGATAGATATGGCGTTGGGTGCACCCTCTTGTTACAGGAGCTGGTATTGCTAAGTATACATAGAACGTGCCTGCCTCTCCAGTATGCATTCAATATGCCCCAGCAATGTGGGAGATCCTACATTCCTATCACTGAATAACCTATCTTTAGACTTTGTGTATGTAGTTTGTTTTAGCTTAATATGTAATCAGCTATTGTTGAGTTAGAAAGTACGTTATTTTTGAAATGGGTTTCCATATGGAAATATAACTGTAGTTTAAGTTACTAATTTAAAATTAATTACATTGCAGGTCAGATTTAGACTGTTTCTATAGGCTTGGGGGGTGCTCTAAGGTTAAATTTAATATGAAAATAGCAGTGTTGAAACTCTGTTTTTTAAATAACAGCAAGTATTTATTCAAATGGCCTTGACAGTTAAAAAAGAAAATGAGATAAAAGGTAGATTTTGAAAAAGTCTTTCACAATGTATATCTTTTGCATGAAAAATTATTGCAAAAGAAAAGTGTAATTTGGGAAAAGGGAAAGCATGTGTGTGGAATTGGTCAGGGTTTAGAGAAAGATTGAGAGTGTTACAATAATAAGATCAGTTCTCCATTAAACCTATGTTTAAACTTATTTAGAGTTTAGAGAAATGTGTGAATATATATTATCTTATTTTTCTTCCTGGGGAAAAAAAGTAAATATCACTTCAAAAGTATTATTTATTTCCCCAGATTATTTAGGCATACTTCAAAGTTCTTGAGGGTGCACCGTCTCGTTTTCTTTTCCTTATAAAGACAGACGATTTATTTTCGTACAAAAAGTACTTTTTTTGTTATTTTAATCTACAGTGTGTAAAAATATGAACTTCTTTTAGTGATACTTTAGCTTTTAATTGCAGGCAACCTGTTGAAAATGAGCCTGGGAAAAATGTGAAATTCACAGAACTAGACTATCTTGGATCCACACCAGTAAACTGAATAGACAGAAAATGAAATGCTCTGATTAAAAGTAAAGTTGCCTTGTGTATTTGCAAATTGTAAAGTAATAAATGTTTTCAGATTTTTACCTAAAATTTCCTCTATCATTTCCCAAGCCAACATATTGTTCTTGCCTAATAAACTTGTTAACATTGGCAGAATTAGTTGCTTACTCCTAAATGGCCTGGACGGTGTCAGTGTAACTATTAAGAAACTGGGTCTTGTTTGCAGTGCGGGGAAGTTTATATTGGGAACAGCTGTGGTGTAGTGGCACTTCAGATATGAGATGAATGAGCTGTGAATCATAGGAAGATGGAGGCTCTGATCGGTATGCAGACAGATGCGTCTGTCCTTCACTTATGGAACCTAATTTTATATCATAATAGATTATGACTAATAGCATTATCCTCGCATTGTGGTTTTGAAGTATCAGTGAGTAACTGGAAATGTTTTATTGTATACAATATCTTTGTGAATTTAAAATACGTTTTTCTTGCAGAAGAATATCAAACAGGCATATACAGCTCCAAATAAAAAATTAATCAAATGCCTCCACCATGGTTATTTAAAAAAAATTACTCAGCATAATAAAATGATTATACTCAGCACTTGATTGCAGTGCTTCCCTGGATGTGATGGCACTGAAGCTTCCGCAAGATTTTTCACCCATCAATCTCAGTCCAGTGGAGTCCTCATCCTGGTGATTAGTCTTAACAGAACTTTGGAATAGAATTTCAACCTCAGTGGAAAGTGTTGATTTTAGGGGAAAAGTGTGAAGAGATCATCTAATGAATTTGACAGGAGGCAAATCCAGTCAAATTGGAAGTTAATTTCTTGTATCTGACAAACTCTATCTTCTCCATTAAGGAAGTGGTTTTTGTACAGATCAAATTCAAAGTATACTCTTTGAATCCTAAATCAGAGTCCCTGCACGTCTCCAGAGCTCCACCAGCACACCACAGAAAGGCTGTGCAGGAGCAAAAGGCACCCCCTTTCAGTTGTAAACCCAGCATCTGGAGGGCTCTGTTAGACTTCTCCATTCCCTAAAAGTTGCATATCCTTGGCAGTATAGATCTGCATTAGCATTGTCTTCACGCAAAGAAATGAAGACCCTTTTGTTGCCATGAAGTTATTGAAAATGTTGAATCATCATGGGCCTTGTATGAGAACTGTGTTCCTTCCTCAAGCATTTCTTTCCCAGTGTACAAATGGAGATGGTAGCAGTTGCCCTGTCCACATTGCAGAGTGGTTTTCAGAGTCCAAAGGCGTGATGCATGTGCAAGTGCTTGTTGAACAGTCTGGAAAGCACGCTAAAATGCAGTGCACAGTTGGGACCCACAGGCGTCTTAATATTCCTTGACTTGGAGCACGGAGAGCCAGTGTGTAGGTGTCCCTCTGGCTCAGTAGTTGGCTGCTGTGTGTTCCTTTTTGTCCAGAAGTTTTGGCAGCTTGTAGATTCCCCAGCCCCTGGCAGGCTCTCCCCTTCAGGCTGGCAATTTTGTTCTCTCACCTGTTGAAATTTCCTGCTCACACACTCCTGGGGGCCAAGTACTCTGGCTGGCGTGCACCTTCTTAGACTTCTGCTAAGGCTGCACCTTCCACATTGACACTGACCTGGGATCCACTGGTGATGACAGCAAGCCAACAGAAGGAATATCTGAGCCACTGCCATCTTCTTCTCACTGATTGTGCCAGCTCATCCTGAAGCCAGCTAGAAGATGAACACTTTGAGGAGAAACAAGGTGGTAGAAAATGACTAAATACGATTAGATAAACAGTAGTTGGCAATGCATTGTGGGCTTTGAGCTCTTGCCTTCCCCAGCCCTGCTCTGCGTGAGACCTGGGGGCTGGACTTACTGATTCTTCAACCAGTGCACTGCACAGAAGAAGGGAGTCTGAGATGGGTTTACCTGCCCTAACCCTAGTGAGCTCTAGTAATTCCCATGCCCGGCTGGCCTCAGTTTCTCTAACTCTTGTTGTATTTGACATTTCATAAGACTAGTCTTCTCTCATGTTTTCAGTTTGCATTTTTTGTACTAGACTGAAGTCCTGCCTGGAAAGACTTGAGCTATGACCTTGACAGTTAGCCTCACCCTTGCCAAGAACTTCTCTCCAGGAGCAAGACTCCATTCTTTCTCTTCTCGGGCTCCGATGCAACCCTGAAGTGGACAGACCCCTAGACCTAAGGCACAGCCACCCTCTTGACAGTGTGTCGTTTCTCCCTGGAGACTTGTGCTGCCAAGTTCCACCTGACAAATAAAATCTGCCTGTGTGCCGTTGCTGGCAGGATCAAATCTCAGTTCTTCACGCTCCTCCTGGCCACTGTAATTTGAGCTACTGACTATCCACCCCAGAATTAAGCCTTCATTAGGTCATTTGTTCTAGCAGAGCCCTAGCGTATTTCCTGTCCCCAGCATTCCCTTGAAATTGGGCACACCAGCTGAGCCGTGACATGTTCTACCTCCAGTCACCTCTCCTGCAGGAAGTGGTGTTAGTGTAGACGTCCTGGGTCAGGCAGGATATCCTTCCACTACTGCTGTTCCGATAAAATTCAGAAGTTAAACCCAACTAAAAT